CCATTTTTTGAAGAGGCAAATTACAAAACTTGAATTTTCCCATGCCTCAAAATCTTAACCGTAAGTCTTCCTAAAATTTCAGAGTCTAGAACTTCACTAAGATCTTCTATATCAGGAAAAACATAGATGTCCATTGTTTGTTTATATTGCCTCAGAAAGGATACAAAAATGGTATATTGTGCAGTATCAACATTGCAGTTATTTTAGCTACAATTTTTTTTTTCGTTTGTTTTTCGGATGTTAGCTCTACAAATATGAAATCACCTGCATTGAGTTGTTTACAATCAATTTCGTCAATCGAATATAAAATTAAAATTCACTTCCTGAGTCATCCGTGTCATTTAGCTCAACTGTGGTCGAACTATCTGATAAAGATTCGTCCAATTTTCTTTTTTCAGTTTTTGCCATCAGATTCTTTTTAACTGCTTTCTTTTTCGTTTTCGGAGTTTTTTGTTTTTCTGAAATTGCAATTTTAAGCTCTTTATAGTTTGGAGTTGACGTTAAGACCATTGTTTTGCCCTTCTTAACTTTTCTCTATAACATTAAGATATTTTGAGTCAGACCATATTTTTATGGTAGCTGACTTATTTTATCATAGGGTAGAGTTATCGCTTGAGCGAAAAGATAAAGTTTACGATTTTGTTGATTGTGTTAGAAAGTCATAGCATAATACCGAAGTAACAGAAAAATCATTACAGTATAAGTTAACAAGACTAGTTCTCCGACCTTATCTCAATGGAATGGTAGAAGTTAAGTTCACCAGTGTAAACACGTTAACCTATAAAACTATTTATAGTTTTAATGGTCCAATTAATGTCACTAATTTTGTAAAGGCTACTTGTCATACAATTGGCATAACAAAACCTGGCATAAAAAGAGAACCACTCGAGGTAACGCTTGAGAGAAAAAAAAAACAATAATAAAAGACTTGCTCCAATAATCTCAGAGAATCGACTGAAATTCTGGGAAAGTATTCCAGTCAACAACAATCAAGAATCAATTGAAGACGATTAATTGTAAAAACTTTAAGACTTTCCCAAAATTCAAAATTTATTTAAACTACCAACGTTTTTTTTTTTTTTTTCATTCTGAATTACATTTGATATTTTTTATAGTTCAAATAAATATTATATAAATCACATTTTTTTATTTTCTTCATAAATCTATATAAATAAGTTTATTTTGTTAAAAAGGTTGCCAACAAAAAAATTATTCCAATAAATTATGTAGTTACGCCTCCTTGAATATAGAAAAAGCAAGAACAATGTTAGATGAAAAAGACATATCTATCTGTCAAAAGTACGATTTTTTTCTACTTTGTGTTGTACTACATTTTATAACATAAAAACAAATATCAATTTATTACCATCCATTAATTAAATGCATTACAATTTTGAAAAACCAGAATGGTCTAGAAAAAGCAGAAAAATCTATTTTTCTCATGTTCAATTATTAAACAGATACGGCCATTTCGTCATCAATATCACGAAGTGACGTAACTCAATTTTCACAACTTTACAAGAGAGCGTTTTAAAGTTTTTTTATAAAGTTACGTCTCTTCGTAAAATTATCAGATCCGGTTAGATACGTGCTATTTTAATAAATGTAATGACTTGAGATACGCAATTTCGTGAAATTGTAACCATACTTTTTTACAAATATGTGACATCTCAATTTTCAATTTTACAAGTTACGTCACTTCGTGATATTGACGACGACTTGAATTAACACGCAAGTACCTATGACAATCTCGAACAAGGCGTTTCATATAATTGAGATCGAACTTCACTTCAGGTAAGTTCGTTTGATCTTTCAATTTTTTACGTTATTACCGACCTTATCAGCGGAGATATATTTAGTATTAATGTAGCAAAACTATGGAAAATTATTAAAATTATCCTAATTCCTAAGCCAGGGGAACCTCCGAATGAAGTGTTCCCAAGTACAATTATAGTGACAGAAACTTATATCGCCACTTCGATTAAGTGACTATTACGTTATAATCACTAAATGTACCCCTATATAGTGAGAATAACTTCATTTTATATTTTCCCAGTTGTAGCCACGTGTATTTCACCACTGGGAATCACTTTAAAGTTTTATATTATTTAGTTGCCTCTGAAGGTGTTTGAAACGTTATTGCCACTAAGCGGGACCACTTTAAAGTTGTACAAACTTGAATGTGGAAAATAGTAGTTACGGCCACCAAATCATATCACTTAAATACCACTTAGAAGTGGCAGTAATCTTGAACTGGGTTTGATAGTTTTAGTAACGTTTCGGGAACCATAAATATATCTTTAAAGTAGCGGCACTTGATTGTATAACTGCAGTAGTTCTTGCCACGTTTTCGCCATGCTCTTAAGTGATTTCCACATATTGCGTGGAACAAAAGCCACTATAACCTACAAAATTCACAATTAAGTAACCGTTGCCTATTAGTTGCCTGCTTTTTACATTGTGCGCCTTTACAATAAAGAAAAAAATACCAAAGTGTCGTCGATCTGTGCATAAACACATACATAAATACATAAATTTAGGTGATCTGTGATATAAACAAATTTGACCGGCGAAATCTACTGTAAATTTTGAGGTTATATGGAATAATACAGTGTTGCGATGGCATTAGAGCGCAATTTCCCTGAGAAGATATAGTATACAAATTTTCTCCCATAATCTTCTTGAATGTACACTATATTTGTACAGGGTGTTTAGTAATTTTTAGAACGGCACTTAAAATGTTTATTAAAAGAGATAAAATAAATTGTTAAATACATAAGTTATAAGGCTTTACTAGAAATTACTATTAAGATAAACAAACGGTAACCAGAAAGGTAACTAACAAGTATCAACTTTGTGAATTAAAATGGGAACCCTATATATTTTTTACTATAGCGATTCCAAATATACCGTACCATAATATTGGATTAAGCCGTTTTACGCTATTCAAGATTAAAATTGCTTTAAATTTACATTACCTTGATCTAAGTTGATTGATGACATATTTGTAATTTAAGGTAAATTTTATTTTCCCCTCTGACATTGGCCTTATTGAACAACTCAAAAACTCTGAAATAAGTGGAGAAATGGCTGATCTGGCAACAATGTAAATAATTAACTTTATGGTGGGAAACACTAGGTGGCTGCCACGTAACCGCCACTTTAAAGCAATCAAAAATATTTTGGATTAGTTCCAGCTGCCACTTATTTGATGAAAGTAACTACAAAGTGGCATATTTTTAGTTTCTGCAACTTTAAAGTTTTTTCCTGAAGCAGACATATTTGTAACCATTTTTAAGATCATCATTATGAGAAAATATAAAGGTTTTATTTAAAAAAAAAATTTTTGTCCATATAGCTTTAATGCAATAAAATTCAAATATATTTAATAATTTTAATTAACCAGGATTGATAAAAAATACTGTTTAAGGCATCTAAATAAATAATTTTGAAGATGAAAAATTCACAGATTTTAAATATAGAGTATTCCAATGGCGTGTGCCCATATTTCGAGCTACAACATCTATATTTGACAGTAAACTTCCAATCGTTCCAATTTTTTGTCTATGAGAATTCCTGAATCAATATTTTTATTATTATTCAGTATGTACCTAAGTATTAGTTTACTAGTTATGTCAAGTTAGAGAATAAGCAAGGAGAATGGGAGAAATAATTTGCAATACAGAGACCGAGCTACAAATATCAATCAAAAGACAAGGGCAGTAAGCAAAGTTCAGCGTTTAGTGTCAGCCACCGTGCCGTCACGTTTTCGCCACGTTATCGCCACGTTTTCGCCACGTTTTTGCCACCTGGCGTAAACGTGATTATATAAGTTCCAGAAACGTGGCTGGAACGTGGTTGCCACCAAGAAAGTGATCCCCATTTTGATTACCGCCACGTGGTATAACCGTGTCTATTACGTGGCAGAAACTTTGGCAATGCACTTTAAAGTTTCTAAAGTCTTGGTAGCCATATTCCGAACACGAAAAATGCTACTTGGGTTATTAGATAAGATCTATATCGTTGGTAACCAATAAAATATCTAAGCTACTAAAAAGATCAATACCAATAACTGAAAATAAAAACTTGATCGGTTCCCATCAATTTAGTTTTAGAAACAAACACTCAATAATAGATCAAGTACACAGGATAGCTGATATTATTTAAAAAACACGAATAAAAACGTAGGTATATGATCAGCTATATTCCTTGACGTAGCCACAAGCCTTTGACACTGTTTTTGGCATGCTAGCCTAATAAAGAACCTTCGAAAAATGCTCCTTAAAAATATCTTGATATTCTTCAATCATATTTACCGAAAATAATTTTTAGAATGAAATCAAATTACATAAATTAAAGGAGGTATCTTACAGGGTAGTGTGCCAAGACCGGTTCTTTACTTATAATAGACCAGCTAAATCTCTAAACAGCAATGTATCTAAATAGCAACATTTGCGGTTGACATAGCAATATTGGTATTTTGGCAGAAATAATACATGAACATCAGAAAAATTTCAGAAAACCTGCACAGAATAAATCAAATCAGTGCATGTTGGTTTTACATCTCAGCGAAATAAACAAAAAATTGTATCAAAAGGGTGGGAAAACTATTTTTAGTGGGTTAAAGGAGGAAAAATTGGAGAAATTCTTCCAAAAAAGTTGGTTTCTTAGGGCTTTAAAAAATTCTAAATATAATTTTAAATTTTTTTGAGCCACAATTACATAAATCTCTAAAGTGTTATAGATAGATTTTGGACTTTTAATTCAAAGATCGACGACAAAAATTTGAAATTCTATTTGTGAGCAATTGAACTGTTCAATATTAATTAAATTTGTTAGAACCACTCTTAGTCTTTGTTGATAGTTCCTCGTACAATTTTAATTAACAATGGTCTACTTTGTATACTGTGGTTGTTACGAAAATTATGGTTTGTATGAAATTTTATAAAATTTAAATTTTTTTGATAATATATATTTTTTTAATTTTTGATTTATTTTAGGAAATTTTCTTTAGTGTATTCTCCCTCGACACCAGTATTCGATGAAGTCATGAATTATTTTCGAATAGCTTTCAAAAATCTCATTCCACTGAACAATTCACACGAACTGGAGAATTTTTTCTTGACCAATTACAGTAATTACACTTTTGCGGGCATCCAATTCAATGATGCATATAGGAACGTTAAACACTTGAATGATATTAAACACTTAGATGTATCTATAAGGTACGTAAAAAAAATTATTTTTATATTACCAATTTGATTTCAAGACACTTAAATGTTTTAAAAAAATTCTATTAGATTTTTTAAAAGTATTCTAATCTGTTGTGACTTTTGGTGCTTCTCTCTGATGACATCTTGAACCCCATCAACAATATTTTTTCTTCTATATTATTAGATTTAATTAACTGACTTATTAAGGTTAAGCTCTGCAAACATACAATAATTAATTTGGCTATAATTATTCTTGACCCCCATGTAGTAGTCATAATAATCTGTCAGTTTAACTTCTGAATTTTTTAGGTTTCCAGGAGAGACAAGGCTTAAATTAGATCCTTTTAATATAAATAATTGGAGGACCAATCTCATTTTTCCGATATTCCAAATGCCCGGACCTAGGTTGTACAATTTTACAACTGGAGCAGCACCAAGTATGTATACATTCATTTGTTGCTAGTTTTAACAAGTCCTTACGTACATCGTTTGCTTCTGCAAAAGTTTCTAATGATCATGAGTATGCAACAAGTTTACTGACCGTTATAAGCATCTGCATAAACAAACCTAACAATTCTACTCCTCTTATCCTATAAATAAGTTAATATATCTGTTTTAGGTTACTACAAAGAAGGTTTTTTGGGTATCCAATATTACCTCACACTTAGTATGCTTCTAGCAAAAAATAATGTAACCTACGTCAAAGACGACTACATAGATGTGATAAGTTGGTTAATAGAAAATGAATTTCCCTTAGTGAATATGCGTAGGTTTCCATATCCGGAATGGTATGAAGATATATTATTGACAGCATTAAAATCTATGTTAGGAATTATCATAATGTTGAGTTTCGTTTATACATGTATAAATACAGTAAAAACTATTACTACCGAAAAAGAGAAGCAACTAAAAGTAAGTAAATATGTTTAATTTTATCTCATAACAAATATTACTATTTTTCAAAATGATTTTTTAGGAAGCCATGAAAATCATGGGTCTGCCAAATTGGCTCCATTGGCTAGCTTGGTTTGTAAAATGTTTCATCTTTTTGCTAATCTCTTCGGTTCTTATGGTGATCCTTTTGAAAGTGAGATGGTACACCAATACTAACTACACCGTATTCACTCATGCCAGTCCGTTTGTTCTGTTACTATTTTTGATGTTCTACAATTGTGCTACCATCACGTTTTGTTTTGCCTTGAGCGTGTTCTTTAATAAAGGTAAGAAAATATATTCAATTATGATAATAAATTTTAGTTTATTCATTAGATGGAGTGCCTTTACTATCATATTTTAGAAAATATATATGGTTATCAAGAATCTTATTTAAAATAAAATAATTACTTCATTTGTATCTCTACATATTCATCTGCTACCAGCACAGATTTGAGCTGTTATCTTTCCATATTTTTTTATTATTATTACCTTTAATAGCCCCTATATATGTATTTTCTAAAATAAAGAAGAAATGAATAGATTCCAAGTAGGTATATAATCAAAATCACCATTGGAAAAAAAGATATTATAACAGGTATCCTCCAAAACTAAACAGTTATTCAAGTTATCTGATTTACAAAACCCACCTTATAATGGAGTCTTACACTAAATTTAGAGGACAACTTCTTTCACACTATCCATTCATCAGACTCAGCAAGAGGATGAATTGCGTTAATAATTAAAAATATTTCCCATTGTGAGGAAACATTCAAGAATTAGAAAATTTGGTAACCAACATCATTAATAATTAGAGCAGAAAAATTATAAAAAAATATTAAAAATGGTGTTATTAGGAATATTGAGACTGAATTAAAACGTCCTTTACAAAGGTATATTTGCCAACTACACATCAACGAATTCCCATTGATATTCCAACCTTTAGATGGCAGCACAGTGGGACCTCGTCAATATTGTGGTGAAATCGGAAAGTGTTTAGAAAAATGAGAATGTCTTAAAATTTCAAATTTTACCCCAATAAAATGTAAGTTGCCAAATATAACTGTGAGAAATTAAGTTCTGATCAACCATATTTATATGAAATTTGCAATGCAATATAAAGCGGCAATTTGTCTTCAAATTTATTACACCGTAAATTAGCGCACTCTAGATGGCTCACAATGGCAAATCGTATTCTTTGGCTCTATGCTGGAACGGAAAAGCCAACATCAAGCCTTACGGATATGGCCGAATTCATAATTAAAGTGTATGTTCCAATATGGTTTAGTATTTAACTAAATTTCAGTTCCAATAGTGGTAATTTTCATTTATTTAAAACGATTAAATTGTCACGCTATTTAACAGATGATTTAAAAACTATTGTGGATACGGTAATCCAAAGAAACGCTTATTTTATACACTTCGAAAACATTATTTTGTGTATGCTAAGATACTCGTGAATGGGTTCGACAACTATATCTACAAAGAAACTTAAAAACTAGATAAACCAGTCGAGAAACCATTAAGGTAGGACAATTTGTGGTACCAAAAATTAATTTCAGTGCTACAATTACTTTCAGTTAATTTACTGGAATGAGTGCGATGTGACACCGCCTACTGTTTTAAGGGATTTTACCGATAATAATTTTAGGCACCTTATAGATGAAACTGCAATTCCAGACTTTGATTTTCCGAAGTTCCCTTGCCATACTCAATTAAGAATTAAGAGAAGACTTTATTCGCTCGTATATTTGAATTGTAAGCTTTTAGGTACATTTTACCATTTTTTAAATAAATGTGTTGTTTAGTTTTAATCGTGTAATAATTATTTGTTGTTCAAGTAATTTTTACCTTATCTTTTGAAGACAAAAGGATTAAACATTGGTTAAAAGCAGTAGTAAAGGGCCGAAGATGTTATTTAAAATAATTTAAAATAAAGAGTGTCAATACGAACACTAAAATTTAACTCTCAGTAGGTATTGTACGTCAAAATTTAACTTTTTACCCCTAAAGTGGGCGGTAGAGGGCTAAAAATGTGGATTTTGAAATTTTAACAAAATTACAAGAAGTAAGCACAGCAAAACGCAAGTTTTGATAGGTATTTTAAACTTAATTTACATATTTTTTAAAAATATGCCTATTTCATCAGCTTCGATAAGAGTTACAGTTTCCTTAACCAAACGTGTTGATGTCGATGATTCCTTATTATCATCAATATAATTTTTTACCAAAGCCTTTGAAGTAGAAGCAATGGGTTCTTTAAAAAATTGTGTAATTTTTATACTGGTATATTTCAAAACCTCCCGTTTACGTTTGTTAATTATTAGATTTTGGTAACTAGAAAGTTTCTTTTTAGCTTGTTTAGACATTTAAAACAATAAAACAACATGACAGTTTCGGGTTGGGGTTTGTTGAATCTAATTAATTACGAATTATTACGATCTACATAATATTAATTACCTCAACTTTAACTTTATATTTATACTTTATATTATATTGTCTTATATCTGTCTACTTAATGGAAATAACACTTTCAGCTTCCAAAAAAAAAAAAAAATATATATAGATATATCTTTTTTAACTGATGCAATTTGCTTTACTACTCAAGACAAAAGTCAATGCACTAGTAAACATGAATTATTACTAAAATACTGTAGTGCTGTTGCGAGAGTGCCAGACCACTCGTCTGACCAGACGAAATGAACAAACTTGTAAAAAACTGGAACTGGGAAATATAGTGAGGGTGCACGGCGATTAGTAATAGAATAAAATACGCAATAGGCTGGGGCCATGCAACTTAAAGAAGTCATATTTTACTTTATTGATAAAACCTATTAATACATTTTATAAATAATTTATTTAGATATTATTACCTACTGGTGATTAATGTTAATTCTATCATACACAGGCTCAAATACTCATATTCCTTCTAACTAGTTTTTCAGACATTGGTAAAAATTAAAAAATATCTTTGGTGCCTTTTGCGAGACGGCACCGTCGTGCATTGCATGACCTGCACAGATGGTTGCAACAGCTCTGTGTCGACATTATTTAATCATATTTATCTGGAACAATGTTAAATTTGACATTAAAGACATTAAAGTACAGGGCAGTGTGCTAAGACCAGTTCTTTGCTCAATAAACACCTGCAACAACAATGTTCTCAATTAGCAACATTTGTGGATGACAGTGCACTATTGGCAGATCTCAGAAAAAATCTAAAAAAACTTGCACCAGAATGAGTTGATGGAAAAAAAAGTGGAAATTAAAAAAAATGCATTTTGATTTTACTTGGCAAAATGAACAAAAACAAACAATGTAAACCATAATGTTATTCCACAATTCGGCTAAATACCTAGAACTGAACCTAATTCTACGAATGGAAAGATAACTTGGCTTCTAGGAAGAAAATACAGGCTGTAAGTTTACAGTATACTCTTGCTTTGTAAACAAATCTTGGTACTATCGAAACAATTATCTTACTAGAAACCTGAAGAAGCCAACAGTGGAAGAAGAAATGCAAAGATTTACTGCGAAATATGAGGGTCTACTCCATTCCTACGTCAATGAAGAAGTTTTGAAATTATTTTAAGATAAGGATTAAAAGGAAGAAAACATTTGAATATGTCCAATGAACATTAATGTTAATACTAGTGTAAAGCTTTTGATACTATGTTATAAATAATTATGACAGCCCGGCCCAATGATACTTCTCGGATAACTAATTAGTTCATAAGAGGTTTGGATTCAAATTGTAAGTTAGTTAATAATGACTAATAACAAATTCTTTCAACAAAAGAATCTGCCGCTTTTATAGATTGAATATGTATAGATTTAATGTCCACTACAAAATTTGAAGTTTCAATTTTTTTATCCATAAGAAATTTACCAATCCCTGTACATTTTTTAGCAAATACAGCTGCCACCATAGCCGGCATGGCTTGGTTTTTGTCATATGCCCCTTACCTCTTCATGCAAGAAATATACGACACCTTAACGCTGTCTTCGAAATTATTTGCTAGTTTGGGATCGAATACCGCCATGGCGTTTGGATTTCAAGTCATTTTAATGTACGAAGGAACTGGAGAAGGTAAATAACAACTAATATAACCTAACTTATACTATATTTCCAAATTTTTAATTCAGGTATTCAATGGAGCAATATCTTCACACCAAATACTCCAGATGATACTCTGACTTTAGGTTACGTGCTGATAATGTTGACGATAGATTCAGTTTTGTATCTTTTGATAGCGCTGTACGTCGAAGCTGTGTTCCCGGGAGAGTACGGTGTACCACAACCATGGTACTTCATTTTTACTCCTTCATTTTGGTGTGGACAACCTAGGTATAAAGGTAAGTCATAAGACAAATAAATATATATAGTTTAAAATATATTTTTTGACATATAAAGTTACATTTTTTGAAATCGCAGCAAGTCAAAATTATCTACTTTACGCAACCAGTTGCATAATGTTGAAAATTATGAAACAAAAAATTCATTATTTCACCAGTTGCGATAAGAAAACAAAAATAAACCTTTGTTGGTTTTAAAATCAATATATACTGTGCTTGTTATTTTGTATTAGACATAGCCATGCTTTTACAGTCAACATGTGGTAACTACGCTATCTCCGCTATCGCTATGATTCGGTTCGTCTAATATCCCACTACCATATCTTCTAATTCTAGTCGACGACTGGCTGTTGTCCTGTTGCCATTTTATTAACTTGTATACTAGTCATATGCCTAACACAAAAAAATAAGCACTGTACATTGTTATTGAAAGTTTATATTGAAGAAGAGCAGGTTAACTTATTAAAAATAGAACTTGATTAAACTCACAACTTATAATAATGTTGCTATGGTCCTTATTTTTATGCTTAATCAGCACAAAATAACTAAAACACAATACAAGTCAAAATAACCCACTTTCTTGAAAACTAAATAACTTGAACAAGCAATATAAACACACTAAAAGTCGTTGGGAATAAATTAATATTATTTATTTTTATTTGTCAAAGAAATAAATTATGCCTATGCAACTAATAATACAGGAAAGTAATATTGGTTGCCTAGATATCAGAAATGTTTTACCAAAATTCAACATTATAAATAATCTAATCAAAATTAGAAAAAATATTGTATGTATGTAAGGCCGTTTTACGTAACTAAAAATAAAGCATTTTGTAACTGGTTAGAAATATGTGTAAGGACAAGGACTCTAATGACAAAACTTCAGGTTCGCAATAAGTCTTTTTTAGCATGGACTTTATTTGCCTCTAATTACGTTGTCACTATTTGTGGCTGACGTTATAGAAATTTGCAATATCTCTCTAATTATCAGAATTAAATGCTAACTGAGAGTATGGGAATACTCCATATATTCATATGAGTCATCTATAATTTGTCGGTACTAAAAAGGCTAAAGGTCAATCGGTAAAAGGTTGAGGTCGTCCGTCATAAAGTAACACAATCGACGACCTTATCTAGATATTTGTTTTATTATCTTTTTTAGTTGACAATTAGAAGCCAATTTTATGGGTCGTATAATAATAACAATAAATTAATTCGTGTATATTCAGTGGTGCAGTTTTTCGGTTTTCTTTTGTTGGCAGATTTTAACGAGTCGGTGAAAAAAATTCGAATTGGAAAATTTTGTATGACAAAATTTCTAAAACAATAGTTCAAACAATAAAAATTCAAATTACAAAACTTCGAAAATACAGAAGTTCGAATGACAAAAAGTTTGTAATTGAAAGTGAGAAACGTTCAAAACCAAAAAAATATCAAAATTAGAGAAAATGATCTAAATTGCATATAATCGAAATTACAAAAATGATCGAAATCAGATATCATCGAAAGTACAAATGATCAAAATCACATAATATGTTTACAACTACTATTGGTATGATATATGATGTATATATGATCAAAATGATATTAAGTTCGAAATAATATGTCACAGAGTGTCCCAGAATATGTGGACAATCTTCCGGATTCAGATAGAATACATAAAAATAATATGACAAGTTCCTATAATTTTTTTTCCATGACTCCCTTTTCGGAGATATGGTTGGGTAATGGGCGCCCCTGAAATCGATTTTTTTTTTAAATAATTTATTCCTTGGTATAATTTAATAATTTTTAAATATGATGGATACTCTCCGTAAAATTGACTATTTTAAACACATTTGGATTATTTAGTTTGCCAGATATGGACAGGCTTTTACACAATAAGGCTATAATTTTTTACACCCTCTATTATAAAGACAACAATAATATTTTTGGACAACTTAAACCTTAAATTCTTGATTATTTCGGCCTTTACTTGATGAAAATTCATATTATTAAATGTATTTATGAAAGCAGTTACGAACTTATTTTTTGTAACGAGCGAGACGAGCAGAGCGAGGTCCCGCGACATGAACGAAAATATTATCAGGAGATTTGAATATTAATTTTGATGTAACTGATGATCGAAATGTTATAAAAATAGTGAAATTGTTTACCTTTTTTAATTTACGTATGCATGTTAAATCACTCACTTGTTTCAGCCAATTAGCGGGGTCTTTAGTTCATGTAATTATTTAAATTTGGCAGAACATGAAGCTATTTTTAACCGACTTCAAAAAAGGAGGAGGTTATCAATTCGTCGCGATTTTTTTTTTTTATATGTATGTTCAGCGATAATTCTTTAACACGGTGTCCGATTTCAATAATTCTTTTTTCGCTAGAATGGAGCTACTTCAGGGGTGGTCCCATATAAATTTGGTCAACATTTAAAAATTAGGTCCATGAGAAAATCTTCAAACTCTTAATTTTTTATGTATATTTAGCGATAATGCTTTACCACCTTGTCCGATTTATATGATTCTTTTTTTGTTAGTAAGGGGGTACCTCAGGGGTGATCCCATATAAATTTGGTTAAGATATGGTGATGGCATCTGCACGTTTTTGAAGTCGGTTTTATTAAATTTTTAATTTACACTTGTAGCAACTGTTGTTATTCAGGGTGTTTCTAAAGTACATCAAAATAGTAGGATAAAGTATGGCAGGGTTATAAAAACTTTTCTCTAGTCTTCATAGGCAGGGTATATAGCAAAGCCAATTATAGCAAATTTAATTATCTTTATGTTAATTTCAACTGATGGAGTATTTTTTCAAACTCAGCTGATCCTTTTAAACTTTTCCATGATACGGTTCATATTTTTTTTTAAATCATTCTGCTTTTCTCTAACAAAAAATAAAACTTAAAATAAAAATAAAAAAAGATGGATTACAAAGGGTATAAGAATTTCTTGCCAAAATATGAGGTAGCTGCATTAATTAAGAATCAATGTAAAAAACCATTTTAAACGGAAACAAGTCATTTTATCGATATTGATCAACAGTGCCTTTATTTAGCTTAAAGGTTAAGCTGTCTAAACATATTATTGTTGTGTCTTTATCACACAGGGTATAAAAAACTAAATAAGCCAAATATGTGTAAAATGGTCCAGTTTTCGGAGAATTTTCTAATATCCATTGTTTTTAAAGTTAAAAAAAATCAGGGGTGTTTTTGTTTTGTATGGGACCATATCTCCTAAAAGGAGGGGTGGTCATTTTTTTTTATGTTCTCTATCTGAAACCGGAAGATTGCTTACATGTTCTGGGATCGAAATGGTATAAAATTAATAAATTAGTTGTGGGTTTTTTAACTTTTATGTATACTTTTTTTGTATGGCAAACCGCGATGGCTCCAAGTCGCACAGGTTAGATAAATTAGCTAAGATTTTTTTAATTAGTACTACAATAATTCTTCAAATGCGTTTCCATTAACCACCAAAGATGTGTCATCAGCAAATGAAGATATAACATTCGAATTAATATAAGTAGACAGAAGCAAAAAAAGTGCCAGCACACATCCTTGGTGAACAAATGTTTAAATCATGTAAATCAGAATTAACACAATTACATATACAGATTTGTTTAAAAATTGATCATTTCATTTTACTTTACAAGCAAACTTTCATTGGTTTATGCAATCAAATCATTTAATGGTGGTGTAGCAGTCTCACGCGCTTATATTCATTTATAGGCAAGTTTATGGTCAGAGACAGACGGGCTTCGGGATTTTGAATTAAATTGCATGGTTCGGTATAGGATTTGATGTGTGCCGTATTAATAGAAATTCAATTTCTGTTGATATGACATGCAGATTATAAAATCGCTATGCATTACCATCTCGATGATGGTGGGTGAGGTTTTCCGGGTTTTCCTCACCTGTAAGTCAAATGGCACCATCAATCATCTTTAAGTCGCCCCGGAGCGCCACGGCAAATTATAATAATAGCCGTCCCTTTCCTAACACAAGCTCAGCTTTTGGGGTTAAAATTCACTCGTAAGGGGATAAATTAGGGAGAGGATTGTTAATTGCTTCATATTTGTTTTTTAATATTGTGATTTCAGGTCTCAAAAATTCGAGCAAACATCAAGAGTGCCCAAGGGTCAATTTTAGGTCCCCTTTTATATATCATTTTTCTAAATGATATAGTCTACTTATATCAAACATATTAAAGTTTTAATGGATGCCGATGACCTAAAATTATTGCTTGAAATCAATTATGTTAACCATTACTTACGTATTCGAAAGTGTTTGTCCGACATTGCTAACTGGTGTCTCGATTTTTTGCTTCCTCTAAATCCCGAGAATTGTTCCGTAATGTTTTTTACTAAAAAGTACAAGTGGTCTTAAATTTAAAATCTCACAATGCATAATTTTGACTATAATATTACTTTGGCAGCTTTAGCTATATTTTGTCACACTGCACAGTCAATTTTAATGACAATTACTTAGTATACAGCGATACTCATAATATGTTGTTTATTTGTCATTAATCTTCTATATTTACAGGCGTTGAAGATTTTCAAGATGCCGCCCTTCTATCAGAATTTTTTGAAAAAGAACCGGAACATTTAAATCCCGGTATCCAAATACGAAATCTGAAAAAATCCTTCAAAACCAAAGTAGCCGTTAGAAATCTATCCATTAATATGTACGAAGACCAAATAACGGTTCTGTTGGGTCACAATGGTGCCGGAAAAACCACGACAATGTCAATGTTGACAGGAATGATAACTCCGACTGCGGGTACAGCGAAGATTAGCGGTTACGATATAAGAGTCCATATGGCGGGCGTGAGGAAAAGCTTGGGATTGTGTCCGCAACATAACATCATTTTCGATGAGCTCACCGTGTCAGAACACATATACTTCTTCAGTAAACTTAAAGGGCTGTCGAGCAGGGAAATAAGTAAAGAGATTGATAAGTACGTTGAGCTTTTAGAATTAGAACCGAAGGTAAGATTTCAATTCTTGCACTTTCTGTCATATATTTTTACAATTATTTTGTTCTAGAGAAACGCCAAATCGTCCACACTATCTGGTGGAATGAAACGCAAGCTCTGCGTCGGTATAGCGTTGTGTGGTAACTCAAAAGTCGTGATGCTGGACGAACCAACGGCTGGTATGGATCCAGCGGCGCGAAGAGCTCTTTGGAATCTCCTTCAATCCCAAAAAGACGGCCGCACTATGCTGCTGACCACCCATTTCATGGACGAGGCTGATCTTCTCGGCGACCGTATAGCCATCATGGCGGGTGGAGAGCTGCAGTGTTGCGGATCCAGCTTTTTTTTGAAAAAGAAATATGGCGCTGGATACAGTTTGATCATGGATAAAGCTCATGATTGTGATCCAAATCGGGTAACACAATTGTTGAGGCGGTTTATTCCAGATATTGAAGTAAGTCAGTTGATTTTTTTTTCTGTATCTCATTAGTTGATTTGATCCTTTGATTTTCAGATATATGGTAACGTTGGTTCAGAATTGACGTATCTACTAGTAGAAGACCAAGTAAGCGTCTTCGAACCAATGCTCAGGCAGCTAGAAACAGACTCTGAGCGTTTGGGAATAAGGAGTTATGGAATATCGTTAACAACTTTGGAAGAAGTGTTCATGAAGTAAGAACATTATTATCGTTTGAAATGTATTTTGTTTTGTTAAAAATAATGTTCGTAGAGTTGGAGCAGATCATGGCCAAGAGGAATTCTACAATATAGAAAATATTACTACTATTCCAAATGGTACTATACAAAACGGACATGCTCCTGGGGTAAATGGTGTTAATGGTCATGCTAATACAAACGGTAATTATTTAGCCTACATACAGTTTTTTTTTAACGAAATACCCTTTGGGTGTATTTCCCTTTTTAGAAACTATCCATGAGTAATTTAATAATAAAGTAATTGGCTACGGTTTTGAAACTTTTAAAACTAAGATCAATTTCACTAGTTTGTGTACTATTAGATTAACTCAAATGGTTTAGTCCTTTATAGTCTTCTTACTCGACGAAATCCTTTTTCATAATTTCTGATGAACTGTGACTCTAGGCGAAGATCAGAATTGCGAAAGAACAGGGATGCATCAACGATGTTGTTCTGTTGCTTCTTTTGCTGATACCACCTCAAAGCTGTATTCCACCCAGACAGGTTTTATGATTTGCTTGTATCTATATACAGGAAAAACATGTTTTTCATATCCCAATTTTTTAGCAGTGCCAGTCACAGTCGCAGTGGGTGCTGTGGGTGGCATATGATACTAAACCGCATATTGATAAATAGTAAATATATTTTTGTTTGTACTACGTAACATGGTATTTTGTAGACTTTAAAATGGGCGATACTTTTGAGTATACAACATATGTAATAATAATATCGAGGTTAAGTGTACAAGTAATGACCTTCGAATATTCTGCTGGCTGGAAGCTATCGGTTATGGACTGAGTGAAAAAATAATAGCAGTAAAATTACTATTTAAATTATACAATCTTGATTGAATGAGTGATTTTTTCTTCTATATCTGTAAAGTGGGGAGGGTGGATTGCCTCACTAGGCCCATCGTGTATTTTCCTGAATCGATGAGGCCCCTCTTAGCTCCTCAGCTGAACTACAGGACAACTTACAAGTTACCTAGTAACTTTGCAGCTTCTTGTTTTATCCCATCATTCCTTGAATTTCACAGGAATGTTCTTTAATAAGGTGTGTTATTACCGATATTGTTAGTTCAATGAAATAGTCAGATCCAAAAGGTATTTGGTTGGCTGCATTCTCGGCTATATGGTGATTATCTTTTGATGCAACGTAGCCTTCAATCAATCTTAAGGTGACCACATTGTTGATGATCACCGCTTGGTGACTTTCTAGTACTCACCCTAAGTAAATTACTGATTTGTCCAGGGTGAGTAGTGCTTGTTTGCTATCTGTCAAGATACGCACACGTTTCTTTCATTGATATTGTCTCTGGTATTTTCTTTTGCTGCTATGAAAGTCCATTTGAGCTTTTTAAAGTATTAATTTCTAATTTCCAGTCAATGTTCCAATGGCACCGACCTATACCGGTGGTTTCAATCTCTTTGCCAATCAAGTCTTAGCGATGTTGATGAAAAAATGCGTATCAACATACCGCTCTTGGATACTACTCGTAATTCAAATAGCCATGCCTACTCTTTTTCTGATAATTGCCTTTGTGGTGCATAGAAGTCACAAGTACACTGGAAATTTACCTGCCATGCCGTTAACTTTACGTAAGTTTGAAAACCCCGTGACTTTAATGGAGAAAACTGATTCCGATTACGCTTCATACTACAACAAGGTGTTGAAAGATTATGGATATTCTGTTACGACGGTTGATAATATGACGCAAACTATGCTGGACGTGGTAAGACAGTTATATTATATAAATTAATCAATTTGTCATAATTTATCTTATTTTAGACCGCCGAACATCCAATACTTGTAAGAAGAAGATATCTAGCTGGAGCGTCATTCGAAGTCTCGAACGTCTCAATACTGCCATACCCTCTACCAAATTTGACAGCTTGGTTCAATAATGACCCCTATCACACACCCGGCATATCTTTGGCCCTGGTACTCAACAGTATCTACCGCAAGATCGGAGGCTGTGATGATTGCACCATAGAATTCACCAACAGACCTCTGACCTACAGTCCAGATACCCAAGTCAATCAACTCTTGAACGGTCAGAATACTGGTTTTCAACTTGCTTTTAATATCGGTTTTAGTATGTCCTTCGTGGCTTCTTTTTACGTACTGTTCGTCATCAGAGAGAATTACTGCAAGTCCAAGCACCTCCAGTTCGTATCTGGCGTTAAGGTTTATATATTTTGGTTGACGTCGGCTTTCTGTGATATGATAACGTACTTAATGACTATTTGCGTGCTGATGATAACCATGGTGTTGTTCCAAGAGAACGGATTTAAGACATCAGCTGATATTGGTAAGAAATTCATTTTTTAAAATGTAAGAAATTTAATTTAACATTTAATTTATATACAGAGTTGTGATTCAGAATAATTCGACGAAAATTTGTCTTAGTTGATGTCCAGTCCAAATCTGTACACAAATTGAAGTATGGCTAATCTCAACTATGACCATTTTGTATTCTTTTAAGAATATAACTTTTGCAACAATTATGAGCAGTTAAACGTAAATAGTCAATTATGATACTTCCAAAGAGCTTTAAGGCTAAGTTATTTTGTCAATAAATTTATACGTTAAAGACATATCATAAATTTCCCAATTACAAAGATTAGTTAATTGGGATATGATCTTAGAAAATATTTATTTTAAATTTAATACACTGAATACAATATATAAAGCAAAAAACGTAGAAACACAAATTACGTCACAATAATATAGAGTATAGGACATTTATAAAAATTAACGCTGCAGTCATAAGATTGAAAAATACTTAATATATTACTATATTATGTACCGAACTTTGATTTGGCAAATTTAGTGAAGATGGCGCTACTTTTCGCACTTTGTGAAGGTGGTAAAGGCACTTTTATGTATAGGTCGAATAGGCAAATTATCTTTAAAGTAGATTAGATAGTCTACTCGAGCTGACTGCTTCTACTTAAAGAGCCCCAGTTAGGGCAAAACCGGTCGTAGAATTGTGGCTTCTCAAATGATAATTCAAAGGGTATGTTTTATCGATGGTGTCGGTCACCACCACCTATTAAACACATGTCGTTTAATCTACAGTTGAGCATAATAATATAACAACAGTATGGAGAACAAACAGTACGGCAACTCTTAAGTGGTTCACCTACCTTTGATTTTTACGATTCTCGTTTTTTTTACAAGGAGGAGAGGATTTTTCAGGCTTACTAGCAGAACCGGTATCGCTGCTTTTGATGTAACGACAGATCCTCATATTCAAATAATATCTGTACAAAATATTTTATTCAAATTTATAAAAGCACACTTTTAAAACCGCGCGCAATTGATACATTAATTTTTACAATTTTGTTAATAATATTTGTATGGATTATTATTTCTTCAAAATTTTTATGGCATATTGATTTTGGCGTGAAAATGAAATATATTAAATTATTGTTTGGAATTTTAAGGTTTCCAAAAGTAACACAGATGACATTCTCATAATTTACACAATGGCAATATAAAGACGAGTCCTTTAAATCTGTGATACTTTTAGAATAACTTTCTCATGCCTCACACAAATGCTTCAGTAAAACTGGAAACAAGAATCACAAGACAATAAAACAACTGACTTCATATAACAGTAGTGAAAGACTAACCATAAAAGCATTGCCAACCCACAGCATATTGGAAAATGTGCTGTTTATTGGGTAATTTACGCAAAATAAAACTTGAGAAAATGGCGGTGCAATCGAAGCAGTGAAAAAATTATTATTATTCTCTATACTGTGATATAGCTCTGGAAGTAGTTGTTTTGTAATACAAGTCGTTCGTACAATTCCGAAAAAAAATCGGTTTGGTGACGATTTCATATATTATTGCCAATTGAGTTAGATTTATTTTTTGTTTCTGGTTGGAAAATGTCGATATTTTAAAATAACTTTTGATTTTGCTTATAGGTAGAATGTTTTTCATTCTATTTTACTTCGGTTGGGCATTTCTCCCGCTGTTTTATCTGGCATCCTACTCGTTTGAAGTGCCTTCTACGGGTTATACTAGGATGACGCTAATAAGTATTTTTGGAGGTAGATAGTATAAAAAATAGTGTTTTGAAGCTTTTCTAAATAAATTATTCGATTTTTCAGGGTGCGCCGCTTTTCTAGTCGTACAAGTATTAACGAGTCCAGGATTAGACTTGGAATACGTGGGTGACGCTTTGCATTGGTTGTTCCTGATATTCCCTCACTACTCATTGGCTAGCGGTATTAATGAAAGTTACAAAGTGTATTCATATAACTTGATTTGCAACACCATCATTTCGACGTGCGCCGATCAACATATTTCGAAAGAAAGGTGTTTGGCTGCTTTGAACAAACGAATTCGTGACATTTGTATGGGTAAGTATTATAACAAAACTTGTCCAAATTGTCCAAAAACAATCAGCGTCATTATTTTGAAATGAATACGGACAAATGATAACAATACTTCTAAAACCTACACCAAACAGTCTCTCTTTTAGGATGCATTGACTTCTTACGACTGTGTGGATTTTACGGAACACTTTTTTTTTCTCCTGGGCTCGTCTGACTATGTATCTCCGAATAACACTGAAGCCTATTGGCTTATTTTGTTTTACCCCATGTTAGTTCATAGCACCCACTCTGTCACCTTTGTACCTTGTACAAGTTTGTACAGATCCTTGGGTGAGCGGGTTCTATACGTTGTTGGATCAACCTGGGGTTGTCCAAAAAGAGCCTGTCTTTTGCGATCTAGAGCTTCGCATTCGCACAGTATGTGTTTGGGCGTTTCTGGTTTCTTGTGACATAGTCGGCACATGAGTTCCCCATTGTACATGCCAATTTTGTTCAAGTGTCCCTTTACTGGGGCGTGCCCAGTCATGAACCCTGTTATCACTTTCAACTGGTTCCTATTCATTGAGAGTAGTTCTCCAGTTCTTTTGGGAGATGGTCTGCCTATGAAAGCTTTTCCATGTGCCTGTTTTGGGGTGTTTCCCCAATAGTTGATATGTTGTTCCCGAATCCAGTCGTTTATGAAACCCCGGACTGTACTTTTTGGTACTCCTGGGTTTGTGTCTGGTTCCGGTGTTTCTTCTGACCCTCTTTTTGCAAGTTCGTCAGCCTTTTCGTTTCCTTCGATCCCTTGGTGACCTGGCACCCAAAATAGTTTCACTCTATTTCGGTCTACCAGTGTTCTTAGTTCTTCGATGCATTCCCATACCAGCCTCGACGTAACTTTCTGACTCGATATGGCCTTAAGTGCCGCTTGGCTGTCTGACATTATTTGAATATGCTGATTTTCGACAGCTCTTTCATTGTTCGTGTTTGCACATTGCAAAATTGCGTATACCTCGGCGTGAAATACCAAGGAATGTATTCCTATAGCACATGGAGCATAGCATAGCTATGGTTAGTATCAGGGTTTTTGGAGAATACTCCTGCCCCAGTGCCTTTCGCAGTCTTAAACCCGTCTGTATACCAGGTTTGTTCCTGTCGTTGATGATCTCCGCTCTTTCCTGTATTAAAACCTCAAATGTAGTATTAAAAGAGTACCTCTTGGTTATGTGGTCTGATCTCATGTCTAGCACGTCTCCTATCACTAACCTTAAAATACTCATGTGACCTGGCCTAATCTCAAGATTTCCCAGTGTATTCCCTAATCTGTAAGCACCTAATCTTGCCTCCCCTTGTATCACATAGTGAAGAGGTGGGAGTCCTATTAGTGCTTCCATTGCAGCAGTGGGGGTTGTTTTCATTGCTCCCGTTATTCCGAGGCAGGCAAGTCTTTGTACCTTGCTTAGCCTCGTTATTGCTTTCCTTTGCTGTGTCTTTGGCCACCACACCAAAGCTGCGTATGTTATTATCGGTCTCACCACCATGGTATAAAGCCAATATACCATGTCTGATTTTAACTTCCATTTTTATCCAAAGGATCGCCTTGCCATCATTAACGAGGTTTCCGCTCTCCTTGTGGTTCTTTCTAGATGCTGGTTCCAGGTAAGTCTCGAGTCAATAATAACCCCGAGATATTTTACCTCCCCCTTAAGCTGGATGCTTGCACCTCTTAGGTTTAGAGGCCTTAGTCCCTCCAATTTCCTCCTGCGAGTGAATGCAATTATGTCAGATTTGTTTGGGCTAATGTTTAGTCCTTCCGCCTCTGTCCATGTAGTTACTATATTTAGAGCCTCTTGCATTCGATCCCTTACTATAGTATTGTATTTTCCCTGTGCCATGATCACTAGATCATTGGCATATCCCAGGGTTCTATGTCCATTATCTTTGAGAGCCCTAAGCAGCCCTTCCACTGCAAGGTTCCACAGGAGTGGAGACAGCACTCCACCCTCTGGACATCCTCTCGCTACCCGTGCCGCTATTGTCTCTCCCATAAGGGTTGTGTGTATAGTTCTATCCCTTAACATAGAGTCAATCCAGGACACGCATGTGTCCTCGATTCCTTTGTGTTTGAGAGATCTAATGATCGAGTCAACGGAGGTATTGTCAGAAGCACCTTCGATATCCAAGAATGCTCCCAGCATTACCTCCTTGTTTTCCAGTGTGTTCTCCACCCTTTTTATTAGTTGATGGAGAGCTGTTTCAGTTGATTTCCCTGCACTATAAGCGTATTGGTCTTGGTATATTGGCCTTTGAACCAATATCCCGTCTCTAATATGCCTATCTAGCAGTTTTTCCAAAGTCTTAAGTACGAAGGACATAAGACTTATTGGTCTTAGGGACTTTGCCGTTTCCTGTCCCATTTTCCCAGGTTTTGGTATAAAAGTTACCCTAATATTTCTCCAAGCTTTTGGTATGTGTCCAAAGGCCAGGCTACTTCTGAGTATGTTACAGAGTCTGCTGTATAAAATATCAGGACCTCTTTGTAACATTATTGGATAAATCCCGTCCATGTCCGGTGATTTATATGGTTCGAATGAGCTAATTGCCCATTTCAGTTTATCGTAGTTCACCACTTGTTTGGATATCCTCCAATCTTCCCTGTTGGCTCTATTATGAGCTTCCAGTCCGTTTAGATTCCGGTTAGCCGATGTGTGTGCTATGGTTTGTGTACCAGCGAAGTGAACCCTGCAGAGTTCCCTTACTGTTTCCTTCCCTGTGATTGTGTACTCCCCCAGTTTATTCTTAAGAGTGTTTATTGTGTTTTGTGTGTCTTTTGAGAGAATTTTTTGGAGCCTGGCACATTCTTGAGCTTGCTATCTCCTCACAGTGCCTTTCTCCAAGACTCTCTCTTGACTTTTCGTAAGGCTATATTGTAACGGGTGCGTATGGTTCTATATAGTTCCCATTCGCCGGTTATTTTAGCCTTATTAAATTTTTATCTCACCTATTTCCTTAGTATAGCAAGGTCATTATTCCACCATGGAACTTTCCTAAAAGAGGTCCTTGCTATTAAGGGACAGGTATCGTTGAAAGCGCTAGTGACTGTCATTTAACTCATCCACAGCCATTTCTAGGTCGGTTGTTGTTCTTATCGTCTTTCTCATCTTCGGATGATTACATTCCAGGGAAGCATTATATGCCTCCCAGTCTGTTTTCCTGGGATTCTTCTGCAATATTCTGCAAAGGTTGATCGTTGTAAGGTCTGTTTAGATGAAAACACACATCCCAAACTACTCGAGTTAAAAAGCAGAAGAGCTACATTGGAAAAGCTGTTCACAGAATTTGATGAGATTCAAACAGAACTAGAATTAATTACCATGGTCGTAGATAAAAAACAAAGAACAGTGTTTGAAGATACTTATTATGATTTAGTAGCACAAATAGATGAGATTATAGAAAAATCGTCAGGTTAACAATCCAGTCTTTCAGAAATCAAATTGCCACCAATCGGTATTCCTATATTCGATGGTAACCTTCACAAATGGAACAATTTTTTTTTTAATCTCTCATTAATAATAATGCCTTTAATATTGAAGTTTATGTGTCTGTGATCTGATAAACTCTCTTCGTCAGACACATGCCAGTCTGTTATAAAATTACTCAAGTATGTTGATGCTATTGTTACATCTAGTACCTCCTTTCTGTTTTTTGTTATATAGGTCGGTTTATTGCCTAAATTTGTTTTGTCTAAATTATTTGCCATAATAAATTGTAGTAATGACTCACCTCTTTCGTTGGTATCGGTGCTCCCCCAGATACTGTGGTGTGCGTTTGCATCTCTGGAACAGAAATTAGTTAACGGCAGTATTTTTATGCCTTTTTTGACAATTATGCAGGTTCGAGGGATGTCTGTGGATCTGTCATATATTAACTCTCCACCCAACCCTCCTAAACCTCTTATTGTACCGTGTCTAATCCGCGGTTCTTGTACCAGGGCCACTTCAAACCTCCCCATCGCCACTGTGAGTACAACCGAAGCAGCCTTACAGTGCTGGAGGTTGATTTGGATTATCTTGATCCTCGCCAGGCCGCCTTAAGACCCTGAAGGTTACCCTTCCTAGCTTATAGTAGGCCCGGAATTGTGACCTCTCGAGGGCCCCGTACGACGCTTCATCAATTGAAAAGGCTAGGAGTTGCCCTCCCTTTTAAATTTTTCTGCTCATTAAAAGCCAGTCCGGCGTCTTCAGTTCCGTATTCTGGAGCTGAAGAAGTCCCCTGACTTTTTCAACCTCGGACTCATCCGGGATGAAAACCAGAACCCTGAGTCTTCTCGGGGGTCCTTAGATTCAACCACGGTCAAATCCGCGCCCTCCCAAAGGTGTCCCAGAGTGTCGACCGTCCTCCTTAATCAGTCCGCGGTCTGCTGGTTAGCGCAGGTCATCCAAATGACCCCTGCGCTAAACGATGTACTGTGGAACTGTGGTGTTCTTCACTGCCTGAAGGGGTAGCGTAGAGCCTTTCCACGAGAGTTTCTTGTACCAAGTCTCCTTGTGCTTGGTCTAGGGTTGTATCTGGATGCCTTCTCTGGATGACAGCCAGTCGGATACCCCTCAAAGTGTCGCTGTACGATCCAGCCGATGCCGGAGCATTTCTGGCCCGCTTTAGTTTCACTTCGAGTGGGGGGAGTCTGCGACTCAGATCGGGGCCTTTTATCCCCTTTCTTCGGTTGGTCATCCCTCCGTTGGGTTCGTTTTTGGGCTGCATTCTTGTGGGGATTTTCCTCCGTCCACGTTCCTGCAGCCATTTTTCTTTCCTTTACAAGCTTCTTCCTCTCCGCTCCTGAAGGTTTTTTCGGTCTATCAGCAGGCTTAACCTCTGCTTTTTAAACCTTTTATTTTGTTTGGGAGCAGTCGTCTGTTTTCACAGATCCTCCTCCCGCTAAGAGGTTAAAGTCCTCTGCTTTCGCATTCCTCCTTCCCTTGAGTTGTCGGAGTCCAAAGCTAACGCAATCTCTCTGTCAGTCATATTCAAGGAGCCTGAGTCGTCTGTATCCGACTCTTCTCCTTCGATGTCCATTTTTTTCAAATTATTTGTACTCATATTTGTTCCCTCGAGTATGGGGGAAGGGTTGGTCCAACTCTGCAGTGCCCCCCGTACAGAGTCAAGGCTGGCTACTTGGGGGGTTTCGCCCGGTTCCCCTAAGGGAACGTTCGCAACCGCATATTAAGCCCTGCGGCCATTCATCCTTAGGCACGTTACCTTACATCGTGGCGTTGGGCTTTTCTGGAGTGCTATTTGGTTAATTAATAGTGGTGCTTCTTGAAGCATCGCTATTGGCCTTATCCAGTGGTGCCACGAGGAGGCAGGCACTCGATGGTTGCATTTCTCCATCGTCCTGTAGAAAAGTTACCTACCCACAAAGCAGGCTTCTTAAGCGAGTGTGCAAGCAAGCAATCTAAACTACAAAGCAATGGCCAAGCTACAACCAACCCCACCACCTAATCCAACAGATTTTCTCCTCCAAGCCAACCGCAACACCCATTAAAATTGTTTTTATTAATAATTGTAACAATCAACTAGCCTAAAGGCTCATTTAGTTCAACTAATGGGTCCTTAGCTACTGTTCTTAATATACCATTAAATGATGAAGGCAGCACTGTCACCAGCCAAAGGGTCCAGGAGCCCAGAAGGAACCTTCATTAATCAGTGGCAAATAAAAAATAAAAAAAAAATAAAATTAGAAAAAAAAAAGATGAAATTATTCCTTAATAACATGAGTCGGTCGGATTTGGCAACTAGTTACGGAATTATTCTAGTCCTAAGGGAATAGAAACGCCGAGAGGCTTCACAAATGCTTGGACTATTTGATAATTGGTTTTGGAAAGGGGAAGAGAGAAAAATAATAATTATAATAATAAGTATTAGAACAGTATAAAATGTATATCAATATGAAAATAAGTACAAAATGACTAATAGTCTCAAGAATAATTGAATTAAATTATATTTAGGGAATAAAGCACTATTTTATATTATATCCAAACTTTTAATATAGACCTATGATTTATGACAACAAGATAAACTTCCCATTGAAATTTATAGTTTATTAACAACTAAAATAGCACTGGCAACTTTAACTATATAATGATATAATATATAAGATAAATATAATACTCGAGAAGAAAAGGAAAAATTAGCATTTATATATAAATCATAAAACAAAACCCAAACAACACGTTAAAATGATTTAAAGGTATTTACCTATAGTACACAAATTGCTGCACAAAACTTACTATGCACACTTCGGTGTTTCGGGACGAGAGTCTCACCTTGTAACGGGTCAATATCTTGACTCCGAATCCAAGGCTGATTAATAAAATAATATGTTTTAATTTTCAGAAATCGTTTATTAGAATGTAAATATATTTTTTTTTTTTGTAAAAATTAATTATAAAAACCCCCAAATCTTTTTAACAGTGTATAAATATATATATTTAAAAAAATTGACGAACATACAAAATTACTTGAACAAGAAACAAACAAATGTAACTAACGGACAAATATTGTGGAGCAGCCAACAAGATTCCACAATACAAATAAAGCACAAGTTCTAGTATGACTTTACAGTAACATTGAAATCGTGGAACTTTTTTGTCAATGCAAATCCTTATAAATAAATTCTGCAAAGTATTAGTAACAAATTATAAAACAAATGAATTAATGGAATTGTGTGGGTGTGTTTTGTATGATGGCCTTGATCTCAGAACAATTGGCCAGAGCTAATGTTGTTAAAACGAATCTAAACCTACTTATAATTTTCACAATTTACAACAATACAATAATTAATAATGAAGGATATTAAACATAATTATATTTTAGGCGACGAATTCCATTTATATATATATTTTTTTTGTTTTTTTTGTTTTGTTTTTTTTGTTTTGTTTTTTTTTTGTTTCGTTCTTTGTATGTTTTTATTTATTTTTTTTGTTTTTTTTTTTATTTATTATTATTTATTATATCTGTATTTTTTTAAATATCTTGATTAATTTTTTTCAAATGTTAATATATAACATAGTACAGTTTTATATTTTTTTGAACAAAAAAACGCATCTTGGTTGGTGGGGAGTGTTGCTCCTGTTAATTGCAGGTTCTTGTAAAATTCTTCATTTAGATTTTGAAAATTAAGGCAGCTAAAGATTAGTTGTTATAAATTATTTATCTAATTGCCTACAACTACAGAATGGGGAATCTGCCAAACCTATCTTAAATTTGTGTTCAGGATATAACCCATGTTTACATCTTATTCTGTTTTAATCATATGATGATTTGAAATATCAATAAACCATGGCTTTCTTCTAATTTATCTCTCGAAACCGTACTCCTACTATTCTTGCCAGCTTTCTAATTGTTTTTTCTTACAATAAGATTTTAAATCCGAGGATGGCATTAGTGGTTCATCTAATAGTATTCCAGAGTTTGTAGCTAATTTTGCAAACTGGTCTGCTTTTTCATTACCTATGATACCTTGATGGCCTTTGATCCAAACCAAAGAAAAGGTCCTCCTCATAGTGAGGAGAATTCTAGCTGTTTCTAAAATCTTTATTATTACTACTGGTAATGTACTTGAAATTTGTATATTTTTTAAAGAATCAATAGTGCTTTTGCTGTCTGTCAAAATTACTAAATTTGATTTATCATGATTAATGGCATATTGTAATGCTTCTAATATTGCTATAAGTTCTGCCGTTTAAATGGACATTTGAGTTGGTAATTTAAATATCCGTGATACATTGTCGTTGGAATGGTATAAGGCGCATCCAGTCTTGTCTTCAATTTTTGATCCATCTGTATAAATATATTCTGCGTTTGGCCATCTGGTACTTATGGTATTGTTAGTAATGTGGTTTATGATGTTTCGGCACTGCACGTGTTCTGACTGAAGGTAGTAAAGTTGTAGTTGAAGATCTAGAAGATTATAGTCTATGTTATAACAAGGAAGTTTGTTGTTTTTATAAAGGAAGGTCTGAACATTATTTAGTAGTTGTAAACTTGATATTAAAAGAGGATTTATGATGAGTAATATTAAAACTAATTATAAAATAATTTAGCAGATAAAGTGACAGATTTAAGACAAGTAATATCGAACTTATGGTATGCAATAATGATAAGTAAACTACTTGTAACAAAGTACTTATCTCTATTTAGACACCGATTCCTGGGTCTCGAAGTCGTAGTCTTAATCCATAAGAATTATAGGATGTAGCTGAATGCCCTAGATGGGTTCCAGGGTGGAATTGTAGGACATTCGACCTGCGGTACCGTTAGGTTTTATCGGCGATAGAGGTGACTTGACTTCAACTTTGACACGTGAACAGAGATTCAATTAGGACTATCAGATTTGTTTCCATCTAGGTTCAACTTATTCCTGATTTTATAGTTATTTCCCAAATGATTTACAGAACTCGTACTTCTGACAATTCCGAAGACGTAAATTTTAATTTCAAAAATTTATCCAAAAATGGAACTATAGAAATAAATTACAATCAGTCTACCTATTTGATAAATGCTAATTTCTCGTTTAACTTTTAATTAGATTAATTGAAACTTACCCTGGATAATTCGACAATTTCCTATTTTTGTCACAGGCTTGTTTAAAATGAATAAATTTTAACTGTATATGGTAGTGTAGTCTTGTCGTCTGCTCACCATAAAATGAATTTCTTGAGAAATTATCACGGCACCAACATATTCGTAACTTTTTATTTCAGTTTTTTAGGCAGCCACTTATTTGTTTTATTTCAAACAATTTACAATAACCTTAACTTAACCTACAGTTTATTTTTCTAAATAAATAGAACTTCGGAATCGTTTTTATTTCAACTTAACAATAAATAATGAATCCGAGTTTCTACTTTAATTTGCAAAATTAATATCAAGTATGTATGTTCGACCCAGTTCCTGCATCTAAGTGAATCTGTTCCTCGCAGAATATGTCAACTCAAACACTGGGCACCACATATACCATATCACATGAATCACATTTTTTTTTGTACTATTATTATTCTAATTTTTGATCAGGCCATGTCATTGCAACCTTTCGGCAAGAGTTTCGGACCCCAGTCCTTACTCGAGTCTTTTTATTTAAGACTAGTCTCTCTATTTAAAACCAAAAATTACATAACAGTTTTACTTTTTTGAATGTCAACGTACTAGCTTGGATAATTCTGACTAGAGTAATAACCTAATTGTTTGTTTTATTGTAATACGTGCGTTTTCTTTTGAATATTAGGTTAATATATTAAAAAATACTTTCTTTAAATTTTTGTTAAATTTTTTATATTTTCAAATAATAATGCCGATTATTACATAATCGGAAGGTGTATTCTCTTGAATAATGTACCAGTGATTAAAAAAAAATTAACCATATAGTTTAAATAGCAATTTTAAATATAAATTCATTATAATAAATTAAACATTTATATATTTTTTCAGATGCAGATCTAAACTACTATAAATGGAAAGCTCCCGGTATAGGCAGGAATCTCTTGTACTCCTTCCTAACTGGTTGCTTCCTCTTCACTCTGTTGCTTCTCATCGAGTACAAGGTCTTCTCAAAAATCACCTACTTCTATACTCAAAAATTCTTCGGCAAAAAACCGCGATCCGTGCCCAACGAAGACTCTGACGTGACGGACGAGAAACAGAGGATTCACATGGCCGCCGAGTCGGATATCCAGATGAATTACACGTTGGCCATTCGAGATTTGACCAAGTATTACAAGAATTTTTTGGCTGTGAATGGTTTGTGTCTTGGAGTTAGAAAATATGAATGTTTCGGTTTATTGGGCGTCAATGGAGCCGGAAAAACGACTACGTTCAAGATGATGACTGGAGATGAGAGTATTTCGCATGGAGATGGATGGGTAAATTTTTAGTTTTCAATAACAAGTAAGGTATGACTGAATTCAAGGGAACCATGAAAGCAATGCGAACCAAAGCTATGAAAGTCATTCTTCGTCTCACAACTCAAAAGTTAGCACTACGATGAATGACATTTTAAAGGTGTTTCAACTCTTTTTAAAATATGGCTTCAAATTGTGCATAGTACTAACATATTCACTAGAGGTCGCTAAAAATTGAAAACTGTAAATTAAAACAAATAATGACGGTGAATTGTTGAAAAATTCAGTTAATTTAACGCTCTATCAAGTGACAAATACCATATTCAATTTTTTTTAACAGTTAATGGTAATTTATTAATGCCTACTAGTTATACTCTACGTAACAAACAAAATAAAAACTGAAAACAATGAGAAGTAAAATACTACCACATAACTATAATAATAACCACCCATATTTCATCAAAACAAACACACGCAAGCACTTAAAAAATTGAAAATACCTTCGTTCGTTTCTTTTCTTTATTTACAAAATGTTATAAAGCCTAGAACAGAGCAATTAACAGCGCTTTTATTATTTCTACATCGTCCATAATCCACTTCTACTTTTGACGTCTAAGTTTAACATCAGTACATCACATTCATCATTCATCTCTAAGATAAACAATAACTAGACCTCAACGAATATAAAAAAGCATTAATAAATAACAACAAAAAATATTTTTCACCACAATTTCCTCCCATGATATTCTAAATTTGTAAGGTGTCGAGTGTGTGCTTCTCTTATATCGGCCGGTGTTAACCGATACTCGTCGAACCCAAATCTAATAAATAAGAGCGTCGGGTAAACGTAAAGGATATACTCGATGTTCTCATCTTCTTGTGCACCCCTTGCAGAGTCCGGGTGCTGACAGCTCCATAGAGATGCTTACATACTTGGCAATAACCAGTTAGAATGCCTGTGACCAAGTACAGATTCTGTCTCGTCATAGTCAAGTATTTGTTTGCTGCAGTGTTGTCAGGATAACTTAAAAGCTCCCTGGCAATTATGCAGTTTCTTGTTTCAGTCCATCTTTCCTTGAATTTCACAAGGGAATGTTCTTTAATTAGGTCTGTCACTATCGATTTTGTCATGCCAATAGAAGGGCCAGATCCAAAAAGTATTTGGTTGGCTGCCTTCTTGGGCAGTAAATCACCAAGACGGTGAACTTTCAATGTGGCGTGACCTTTTATCCATCTTAAGATGACCACATTGTTGATGGATACTTTGGCCAAAGCTTCATGACATTCTAGTACTAACCCTGAGTAAATGCGTGATCTGTTTAGCGTGAGTAGTGCTTGTCTACTATCTGAAAAGATGAGCACCATGTTCCTTCCAGTGATATTGAGCCTTGTTTTGTTTTAGAACCGTCGGTGTAGACATGAATCGTACCTGCCACTTACGGCTCTTCTATTTGTTCTTTTATAACTTTATATGGTTCATGGAAGATATAGGAAGCAGTGGGGGCATATCGAGCGCCTCCTGCTAATAGTGACGTCTCGCCTCACCAAATCCTATAAAAAGTTCTATTCCAACCATGCGGAGAGGTATAATTGTTATCAGAGCAACTTCCTTGATGTAAATATCAAGGGAAGTGAGACTAAGAATTACTTCCATGGCTGTGGTTTTTATGGCTCCTGTTAGGTTGCGACATGCTGTTCTTAAAATTTGTTCTAGTTTGCGGATATCTGGCAATGTTTGGGTTTTCGGTAGCCAGACAACTGCATAGCTTCATGTTAGCATAGGTCTTATGATGGCCGTGTAAGTCCATGCGGTGACTCTGGGGCGGCGGCATTGTTCATAAGCAATTTATGCTTTTTTGACTATGTTTTCTAAGTGTAAGTTCCGTGTTAACTTGCTGTCAAAGGTGAGACCTAGGTACTACATCTCTGTTGCAAAGTTTAGTATTATTATGTTTTGGCGTTCTGGAGGTTTTCATTCCATTTTTATCCTTTCCTTGTAAAAAGGACCATTTCTGTTTTCTTGGGGTTGATAGAAAGTTCTTTCACCACTGTTCTATAATTTTGAGAGCCACTTTCACAGAGTATGTTTTTAAAAAATTCTGTTTGCGGAATGACCAGGTCATTTACATACGCTATTGTATAGTGATTGTCATTATTGAGGCGGCTGATGAGGGTGTTGAGAACTATGTTCCACAGTAAAGGTGATAGTACCCCTCTTTGTGGACATCCCCTCGCAACTAAGCCTCTTATATTCACATATTCTACACTTATGTTTACTGCTCGCTTTGAGAGCATATTATGTATCCAGCCACTAACCATCTGTGGAACATTCCTGTTGGTTAGTAGAAAAATGGTTCCATCAAAAGCACCTTCTATAGGTTTGTTCGGGTTTCTTTAAAACTCGATGCAAACAGTCCGAGAACCAGTGGAACAGTTCAATTCCAAATTATTCGTCGCATACAACTATTAAACTGTCCCTTGGTCAACTAGTCTTATGACAGTTCTCAATGTATTTTTGAAGAACCCGAACAGACCTAGTGCCTATGAAATCACCCAAGGTGGACTCGTTATTGTCCAGGAATCTCTCTATCCGGTCAGCAACTAGGTGAAGGGCTAAATCAGTAGGTCTGACTGGAGTGTATGCATGTTGATTTGGGTGCAGTGGTGTTGTAAATACCGTATCTCTTATGTACCTTTCGCATAGCCTTCATGGAAAACGGATACATTATTCACTAAGGACCTTTGGCGGATATTTTAGAACTACGCTTATTTTAGATACATACTTACTTTTTTATAAATACCTTTTTTTTTAGGTAAACGGAAAAAGTATAAAACACGAATTAAAAGAAGTTCAAAAAATCATCGGTTACTGTCCCCAATTTGACGCTCTTCTAGATGACATGACGGCGAAAGAGTCCATCGTAATGTTCTCATTATTGCGAGGCATAGAACTAAAGGACACGTCGAAAATAGCCGAATACTTATCTAGAGAGTTCGATTTTCATCGGCATATGAACAAAAAAGTTAAGGAATTAAGCGGAGGAAATAAAAGAAAATTAAGCACGGCGATTTCTCTAATTGGGGGACCCTCCATTGTTGTACTTAGAAGAACCGACGACAGGTACGTTTTTTCGTTGTTATTATTCTTGGTTTTTGTCGTTTTTTGTTGTTTTTTGTTGTTTTTTGTTGTTTTATTGTTTTTTGTTGTTTTTTGTTGTTTTTTGTTGTTTTTTGTTGTTTTTTGTTGTTTTTTGTTGTTTTTTGTTGTTTTTTGTTGTTTTTTGTTGTTTTTTTTTGTTGTTTTTTGTTGTTTTTTGTTGTTTTTTTGTTGTTTTTTGTTGTTTTTTGTTGTTTTTTGTTGTTTTTTGTTGTTTTTTGTTGTTTTTTTGTTGTTTTTTGTTGTTTTTTGTTGTTTTTTGTTGTTTTTTGTTGTTTTTTGTTGTTTTTTGTTGTTTTTTGTTGTTTTTTGTTGTTTTTTGTTGTTTTTTGTTGTTTTTTTGTTGTTTTTTTGTTGTTTTTTGTTGTTTTTTGTTGTTTTTTTGTTGTTTTTTGTTGTTTTTTGTTGTTTTTTTGTTGTTTTTTGTTGTTTTTTGTTGTTTTTTGTTGTTTTTTGTTGTTTTTTTGTTGTTTTTTGTTGTTTTTTTGTTGTTTTTTTGTTGTTTTTTGTTGTTTTTTGTTGTTTTTTTGTTGTTTTTTGTTGTTTTTTTGTTGTTTTTTGTTGTTTTTTTTTATTGTTTTTTGTTGTTTTTTGTTGTTTTTTGTTGTTTTTTGTTGTTTTTTGTTGTTTTTTGTTGTTTTTTGTTGTTTTTTGTTGTTTTTTGTTGTTTTTTGTTGTTTTTTGTTGTTTTTTGTTGTTTTTTGTTGTTTTTTTGTTGTTTTTTGTTGTTTTTGTGTTATTTTTTGTTTCTGTTTTTGTTGTTTTTTTTTTTGTTGTCTTTTATTGTTTTTCGTTTTTTTTTTTATTGTATTTTGGGTTAATCGTCATCCTTTTCATTTCCTTGGATATCTATAATATGTTCTGGTACCCACGCTAGTTTTATTTTATTGTGGGTTGCCAGATATCATCTTTGATTTGTTTATATTTGAACCGAATGCCTTTAAGGCTGCTTAGTTGCCTGAGATAATTAGATGATCTTTTTTTATACTTCCGTTATAAATTATGTCGTACAAACAACTGGATTGCGTGTATTTTAACTTGAAATACTACTGATGTTTTTCCAGTGTTGCATTTGGATTTAACTTCACCCCAGAGCATGTTTCTTTGTTTAAAATAAATTTAGACTAATTTGTTTGACTTGATTTGACATTTTGTTGTCATAATATGTGTATTTATAATTTTTAATTTTCGGACCAAACACCATTCGTCTTCTACTAAAAATCCCTTCCGTTTTTAATATGTATTTTGTTTCAGGCAGGACCCAGCAACAAAACGCTATCTCTGGAACGCCCTGTGCAAAATTCGCGACAGAGGTAAATGTATAGTTCTCACATCCCATAGCATGGAGGAATGCGAAGCACTGTGCACGAGACTGGCCATCATGGTTAACGGTACGTTCAAATGCCTCGGCTCCACGCAACACTTGAAAAACAAATTCGCCGAAGGCTACACGTTGACTATAAAGCTGAAAAAAGACTCCGAAAGCGAAGCTGAAACGGGGCCTATAGAGAAATTTATAAGGGAACACTTTCCTGGTGCCCAATTGAGAGAGAAGCACCAGGAGTTGTTGAATTATTATATAACTGAAAAGTCTGTACCTTGGTCTAAGATGTTCGGGATTTTGGAGCAAGCCAAACATAGCGATCTCAATATAGAAGATTATTCTTTAGGTCAATGTAGTTTAGAACAGGTAAGTGTCTGTTAATCATATAAATCAAAAACCTAAGAGTTTCGATTAAGTTTTTCTCAAAAGTGAAAACTTATTTAAATTTGAGTAGGTTGTAGATACTTAAATCAACCTTGTGTTGACTTTCTTAATGTCATACAAAAATTTATTTTAGACTTAATTCTTTTTCAATTTATTATGTTTGAAAACTAGGTCACAAAACTGGGCCGTAAAATTAGGTCGTAAAACTAGGTCATAAAACTATGTCGTAAAAATAGGTCTTAAAAATAGGTCGTAAAACTAGGTCGTAAAACTAGGTCATAAAACTAGGTCGTAAAACTAGGTCGTAAAACTAGGTCGTAAAATTAGGTCATAAAACTAGGTCGTAAAAATAGGTCGTAAAACTAGGTCGTAAAACTAGGTCGTAAAACTAGGTCGTAAAACTAGGTCGTAAAATTAGGTCGAAAAACTAGGTCGTACAACTAGGTCGTACAACTAGGTCGTACAACTAGGTCGTACAACTAGGTCGTAAAACTAGGCCATATAACTAGTTTATAAAATTGGATAGTGAATCTTGTTTAAAAGTCTAGGTATCATAACTAGGTTGTAAGTAGGATGTAAATCTCAACTCTAAAACTGGGACGTGAAACTAGGTCCCGAAATTAGGTCGTTATACCTATATTTTAAAAAAAGATTGCAAAACTAGTTTATAAATCTAAATCCCTAAACAAGTCATAAAACTAGATCGTTAAATTGGCTTAAAAACAGCCGTAAAAATAGGTCTTAAAACTAAGCCCTAAAACTGAGTCACAGAGCTATGTCGTAAAATCAGGTCGTAAAATTATCGCGTGAAATAACTAGGCCAGGAAATTAGGTCTTTAACTAGATTGAAAATCTCAGCCGTAAAACTAGGTCATAAAAATAGGTTGTTAAACTAGCTGATAAAACCAGATCGAAACCTACGTCGTAAAATTAGCGCGTAAATCTATGCCGGAAAATTGTGTAGTAAAGCTGTTTTGAAAATCTTAGCCATAAAAAAATATCGTAAAACTACGTCTTAAACCTAAACCTAGGTTTTTAGACAAGATTGTTAAACCTGGTCAAAATAATAGACCATAGTATTGGGTTGTAAATGTAGGTTGTAAAACTAAGTCGTAAACCTAAACCTAGGCTTTTGAACAAGATTGTTAAACCCAGTCAAAAAACCAGAACGGAGAACTGGGTTGTAAAAGTAAGTTAGAAAACTAGGTCGTAAAGCTTGTTCGTGAAAGTAGGTCATAAAATATTAGATCATCAAACCAAGTCGTAAAATTTATGTTAAAAAATCAGGCCATAAAACTAAATCCATGAATCTACGGCATAAACTCGGTCGGTAAATTAGGCCATTAAACTGGGATATAAATCTCAGCCGTAAAACAGAAGCTAGGTATTGAAATTAGGTCGTGAACCTATGTTTTAAGCATCGAGATAAAATACGGTAGAGACGGCAGAAATACTATTTTGATACATTGACACACTTTGAGTGACGGAAAAGTGTAACGAAAATGGCGAATTAAGTCGTAGTTTAATTTATTTGAAATCAGTAGTTTCATATTTAAAGACTAACGTAATGAAAATTATTTTATATCATTTAAATGAAGCTATAAAAATGGCATTTACTCTCACCAAAACTGACTACCTCCACTATCTAGAGTTTGACATATGACGTAAAAATTTAATGTAATGGTGAGGACACTTTAGCATCGTCATAACATAGCATCTCATCTCAATAGTTTTAAGATAAGATTGTAAAACTAGGTTATTAAACTGGGATGTAACTATAGGTTGAAAGACTAGGTCGTAAAACTTGGACAATGAAGTAGGTAGTAAAATACTACGTCGAAAAACTAGGTCGAATACTAGATTATAAAATTTAGTGATAAAACTAAGTTGTAAAACCAGGTCGTAAAAATAGGTAAGAAAATTTGGTCGTAAAACTATATTGTAAATCTTAGGTAAAAAGCAAGGTTATAAGCTATGCCTCAAAATTAGGTAGTAAACCTTTTTTAAGACAAGGTTAGTTTCAGCAATAATAACATTATTTTTAAACTATATCGTGTACGAGGTACACAGTGCCCAGCGAGCAGTCGCATATAACCATTAGAACTAGATATATCGAAATGACCGTTAGAGAATCGCGAGTGTATGGGCACCCTGAACGACCAATTCCATATACTTCTGCAGAGAAACACAGGCGAGTCTGTTTAAGCCATCGAATAGTAATTTTCAACCCCCTGACTGCCATAAGGTGATAAAACTAGATCATAAAGCTAGTCCATTGAAAATATAGGTTGAAAAACTTGGTGGAAAAATTTTGGTTGTTGAACTAGGTCCTAAAATACAATGTCGTAAAATACTGGGTCCTAAATTACAAAGCAGTAAAACTAGATCGTAAAATAGGTCGTAAAACTAGATAGTAAAACTAGGTCGTACTAGATCGTATTAGATCGTAAAAAAGGGGCGTTAAAGTAAGTCGTAAACCAACGCGTAAAGTTTTACTGGAAAACTAGGTCGTATAACTATGTTGTCCACTTAAGCCGTAAAAATAGGTCATAAAGTTAAGTCGTAAAACTAAGCCGTAAAACTGGCTCGTAAAACTAAGTTGAAGAAGGGGGCTATAAAACTAAGTCCTAAAATTATGCCATAAAACAGTGTCGTAAAACTAGGTTGTTTATCTCAGCCATAAAAGTAGATCGTAAAACTAGGTCATAAAACTAGACTGTATAATTAGGTTGTAAATATAGGTAACAAAATTAGGTCGTAAAATGTTAAATTTGTCCAACTCGAGCGACAATGAGTTATTTTTGCGCCCTGTCAAACAACTGAATATTCCTTTTATATACTCGTATGTTTATCTTTTTCAGGTGTTCCTGACATTTACGAAACACGCCACGTGAAGTAATTTCCAATGACAAAAGAACTATCTTTCGTGCCTTTTTTCTGTGTTATTTTTCTAATTGTGATATATAGAAGTATATTTTTGTCTTGTACTTTTTCGTTTAGTTTCTATTTATTAAGAAGAATATACTTTGACAACCTATTTATTAATTTCTAATGATCTTATTATAAGTATTTACTGGAACAGAAAGGTTTTATTTTTGATAGATGTGATAGATCGGTGCTTGCTAGAATGTTTTTCTTATTATTTACAAATAAAATTAAACTACGTCTTTATAGTTTTTCTTTCCTGAAATATGGAGTCAAATGTTAGCAATCGCCGTATGAAACGCCGCTGGGATATCATCTAGCGCTATGACTCATTAGGCGACAAGTTTAAATCATCAGAAAATAAATAAAAGTTGCTTAAAAAATGCTAGTAAAATAAATGTTATGTCAATTCTAATTTATAACGTATATATATAAACTCCGAAAATGCCTGTTGATGGACTTAACGCAAATCTAGGAATTTTTTAGATACGCCCCTTTGTCATGTTAGCGACGTATTGTGCGAATATTTATATAGTTCAGTCAAGTATAATAAATAGTTGTGTTAAATAGTCGAGTTTAGTGTTACAACCCTCTTCCAACAAAAAGAAAAGTATCAACAATAAAAAATATATAATTTCAATAGTTTACTTCGTTTTCTACAAAAATATTTTTACATCTAAAGGTTCAGAAAAAAGGGGACAATGTGGTAGAAATTACCATCCTGGCAGTGCAAGTTAAAATAAATTGAGATACCAAAAACCTGCGAAACATTGGTGCCAGCGGTGGGATCCAAAGTAGAAGTTCATGGTAAATACTAGATCCACTGAGTACGAAGCAGGCATGGATACTTTAGGCCCACCAGCATAGATTTTGAAGATGGAAAAGGAGAGAATAAGGAAAGAAGAGGAAAAGGAAAGGCGTAGGAAGGAAGAAGAGGAGGAAAAGGAAAGGCACAGGAAGGAAGAAGAGGTGGAAAAGGAAAGGTACAGAAAGCAAGAAGAGGAGGAAAAGGAAAGGCACAAGAAGGGCAAAGAAAAGGAGGAGGAGAGGAGTAGAAAAGAAGCGATTGAAATTATGAACAGTTTGCTACAAATCCAGGAAACCTTCAAGCAAGCGGTTGGTCAGCTTTTTATTAGAATAAATCTTTTAGAGCAACAACAAGAGCATTTAAAAACTAATTTAAAACAACAACGAGAGAATTTAAAACAACAGGAAAAGTCTAGAGAGTTCGAAAGGCAAATTAGAACTGAAATAGTTGAGTTAGAAAGAATAGTTCAGAGAGGTGGGTTGCTCAGTGGTAGAGTCTCTGCCTGTGGATCCAAGAGTCCCAGGTTCGAATCCCACCGTTGGCTGGGATTTTTTTATTTAATTTAATTATTTAAAATTAATCCCAATGCCTTTGTAGGATTCTCCCTTAGATAAAAGAAACAACAGATTATGCATTTCATTCATAAAATATGTTTTGTTTGGTCCCAATCATCGGAAAAGAGAAACAATATATTTTATGCGGATCGAAAGAAGACAGACAGTAAGCAAAAATATCGTCTGGCAACGCTGCTATTACACGCAACTAAAAGTCTGTCGATACCAGTGGCGTATCTTATTAAAGATAAAATCATAACTAATTATTATAAAAAAATAATGAAATACTAACCAATATGGTGTGCAATAAACTTTATAATGGTTTAAACTTTAAAACCGAATGGATTTGGAATAAGGGTATGGAATGTAGGTAACAAATTAAAAACACTATTTTTTTCCAAGAATATTACAATATTTATTACATATAAACATGTTAAATAAAATAAAATAAATAAACTAAAAACAAGATAAATAAATCAAGATTTATTTTAAACAAATTTTCGATTCCAATTTTGGGGTTAAAAACAGTTTAACAAATTAGTAAATGAGAGATTTTTAATACTAATAAATTTATAAAAGTTAATAAATCAATAAATTTACCATACACAAGGTGGGGATTTTAATTGGAACGCTTCTTATGGGGATCTGGCGATAAGAATCCTACAACAAGTAGAACTGTACAACAATAAACCTATCCATTGATAGTTTTTAACTTGTAAAACTGGGCAGTAAACTAACTTAATAATTATCATCCGTAAATAGTTTTTTCCTAAATGTGTGCGGCATAGATAAACTATCTTTTTGTTTCTTACTAGGGCTGTTAAAAATACTGATACTGGAATCAGAGCTGTAACAGAGTATTTAGAACTTCTAATGTAAAGGTAAGTATACATTTTAATAAATTATAAGGTAATCCGTAAAAATAATCAAAGAAAGAGGCATGTAATATGGAGTTTATAAAAAAGTTTGTCCTTGTTAAGCACTACAAAATTTAAAGAACTTACAATATAAAAATTTCTGTGTAAGATAAAGTACCAACTTTCATCTTAAAGGATATACACTTAAATGCTCCGAGCATAACATTCTTTTTTGGATACCTTTATTTTCTTCAAGTCCTACAAGTGATAGCCAAATATTTCTTGTATGCCTTTCAGTTGGGAATCTAAAAATTAAGCATAAGCATATTTATTTCAGTACTATAGTGCAGACTTAAGTGTTTCTATTAATTACAATTTTTTGCAAAATGAATTACGTTGAAAGATCAAAGAAAATAATAGTAAAACAAAAGTAGATAATACATGTGATATTACGGCAAAAATCTTTAAATCTACACCACTGAACTATAAATAATAAATAAATAAATAAATAAATATGGTTTTATTGGCATGTAAAAATTACAAATAGTATAATTTATTAAAAATAATTAGCCAAAAGGCAAAGTTCAGCTTTCAGATTTGCATAAGCAAATATAGAAGCTGCTCTTCCACTCAACCTCAATAACTTGAAAATGAAACAGTCCAGTGTAAACACTCAAACATATATCTCTGAAAGAAATTTTTGTGTGTTTACACTGGACTAAACAACTGTCAGACATAAATCTCATGCAATAAATGTCAGATGTAAACGTACCTTAACTATCTCTGCCCACAAAGCGTCGGAGTTGAAAATACTGCAATAGGTATAGTTTGTCTAAAGTCAGTTGGAACAGTATAAAAACAACTGGTAAAAAAATTCTTTCAATTTAGCCGCATAACATAGGCGTAGGAATATTTTTTAGATTAGATATGTAAAATAATGTTATAATGATTTTAAAATAGAAGTATTGAATCGATTTGCATTGTTTCATAGAGGACAAAGAGAGAAAGGATGAGTATTCTAGGAGAGACGGCTGCGGCAAAGACAGGTTTGGTTTTCGCGTCTCAGTTCTTGATTCGTCTTATTATACACTGTGTTATAAATTATCCTTTCGTTCACTGATTTTCTTGATCCTCTCGCTGTTATTCTCATTTCGCACATTGGCTTATAACATCGTTTTATATCACTTTTTCTCGAGCATGTGAGAACGCTAAGTTTAATTTGGTTCATTACAGGTGAAGTAAACCTGTAGATTTAATCTTGCCAGGTCTGTATATAAAGAGGCTAATTTTCTGACCAAAGTAGAATTTTTTAAAATCACACAAAATTTCTTTTAATATAATCTAAAGTTTTTATTTACTTCACGGTTATTTTTAAAAACTAATTTAATTTTTACTACATCACTGGTAATTTTTAATTTTGCAAAAACTCTTCTTTTAATTTACCTACCTACTAATTTTGTTAAACCAATTATTATTGCTACTTTCAATTCACCTACACCATGGTTCGTATATAAAACTGATTGTCCCTCAATGTTTTCAAAAATAATTGTGAATGTAGCAGAATTTTACCGAAACATATGTAGTTTTATACAAATTCATCGATTAAACCAGAAAAGTTTACTGTGTTTGAATAATATTGGTATTTACACATCAAAAACAAAACAAAAAATAAACAGAAACTGGAACTAGTCAAACTAATTTCAAAAATAAATAAATAAATAAAAAGAAATCTACAAAAAAAGTAGCCCTAGTCATCATTAGAGAATTCATCGTCGGATGAACTATTGAGGTCAATTATAACTGGCTGTACAGGTGGCAGAAGAACATATTCCTGTTCTTTAAAAACTACATGTGATATGCTGTCTTTCCAAATATCACTGTGTTCAACATTAAAAAGCAACTTTATACGTTCAACAACTTGTTTGCTTAAATTCGGGGATTGATTTATCTTTCGTAATTGGCCTTTAATGTATGCCCATATTAATTCTATCAGATTAAATATGCAATAATAGGGAGATAGGCGCAGCAGAATATGACCGTGCGTCTCTTTGAACACTCCGACGCGGTGAGCGGACAGTCCGTCGACCGCTGAGGACAGCAATTTTCGCCCGAGGTGGTTTGTTAAAAAATATAGAAAATGATACTTTCTCTAGGTCTGTACGTGCTGTTTATGTATTATGAATGTAAACGAAAGGTATTAAAATGGATGCAAATAAATTGTTTGCGTTGTTATTATTGTTGGAAGAGGAAGAACTGGCAACTGCAACCGTCAAAGTTTCCAATAAGCCAGTGGATGAGTTGTTTTTGTGTTGCGATACAGAAGGTGCCTTTAATATCACTGTGCAGCGGAGGCTTTTTGGAAATGAAACCAAATTTAGGGAGTATTTTAGACTTTCTACAGATCTTTTTGAATTCGTGTTGAGTTTTATAAAGGACATAATTTCCAAGAAACCTAAAAATGAAGTCATGATGTCATCTGTATGTGTGAATTTGTCACTCATTGTTTTAAAATTAATAATATAGGATTTTTTTGAGGAACGTTTTTATCTTTCATAAATTCCAATATATCACTTTTTTAGTTCTTCGGTTAGAAATTGTTCTAGTTTGACTTGAATGATAAGAGGCATTGTCCATGACGACAACGGTTTCCTTAGGAATATTAGGTGATAGCTGTACTTCAAACTATTTTTCAAATAATGGCGCCGTCATATCCTCATGGTAATCCGCACAGGAAATTTTAATTTGTTTAGCTGATAATAACAAAGCATTAGGGACAAAACCATTTACACTTCCTGCGTGCAAAATAACTACACTTTTTCCTCTAGAGAAAGGCGTTTGCAAACAACAATTTTTGGAGTCATTAACCCATCCATAATTAACGACATCATGACTATCAAACCACGTTTCATCCAGGTATACGATATGTCGATTACTATCACGAAAATTTTTAATTTTGCGCAAATAATCTTGACGAAGCCTAACAATTCGTTGTGGTTCCATTATCACCATTCATTTGTCCAATTTCTTGTCTAAATCCACGATCTAATAAAATTTGATGCAATGTTTCTAGGGACTTATAATTATAGTCGGGGTAATCTAATAATTTTCTTTGAATATACTCTAAAGTAGGAACTCGATTTTCTTGATACAGATTATAAATTGTCATACGTATAAATTTTATCAATTTTCGCAAGCTTTTGATTAACTCTTTCTCGTAGTACAAAATGGTCAGTTACATCTCCTATTGAAATAATACGATAAATAGTTGTTCGTTTCAATTTCGTTAGTTCACATATGCTTCTT